AAGTTCCCAAAGTTCTAACACTGTTTTCCCACGAGTTCTTTAAATTCAACCTGAGAAAATCACAAAGCAGAGATTTGTCTTATGTTTACTGCTTAATTAGTTTAGCACCGATTTCAGCAGATAGAAGACCTTGTTCGTTACTTGCGTTTGTGACAGCTGAGAAGCTTCCTCGTTGCCTGAGGGAGTCCCGGAGCTTCGGATTGGTTGCTGAGATGACGTCTGGATGACGTCCTTTTGGGAGAGCCCTCGGTGGGGATTGGTTGGTTGCCGGGTTACAGAGGAGCCGCGAAGTTCTTCTGAGAAAGTCTGATTTTGCAAGACTTTGAGTTCTGCAGAGTTACGAAGCTTCAACGGAGTGGTTGAGTTCTGGATGGCCCGATCTCGTGATAGTGAGCGTGTGAGCACAAGTTGGAGTGCTATTAACACGGCGAAAAGAAGCGAGCAGCTCGGAGAGAAAGAGCCATCTGGTTTTAAGCCAGTCGAGTTGGTCCATCCCTGAAGCGATTGTTCCAATCAGAGATCAGTTGCAGGACGGGGCCATGCCCCGTACTTTTCCCCTTTTTTCCCCATAAATTACATGCTTTCCGGTATCACGTGGGATACATCCTTGCCAGCTTTTGTTAATACTTCTATAAAGTTTCTTAATGCGAGTATTGTACATACTTCCCAGTTTTCATCCATTACCACTGTTCTGCAATTATCACATGCTTTCATTCAACACTAAACTTAACATATCAATAGCTTTATCTGCTAAAGGGGGTTAAAAACATTGATTAAAGTTGCAAGGTTACATTTTAACACCTCAAGCATATATAATGCATACAACATATTATTTGTGAATATAGTTGCCCTTTTATATGCATAAATTATTGTCTTTTGAAATCATCCAGTGAGTTTTGTGTGTTCCTTTGTCTCTCAAAGAGAAGCGCGCGGTTTTCTGGAATTTAGAGAAAGGGGAGCACAGAGAAAACCCTGAGGTCAAGGAGGTTGTAAAAAGGTCCTGGTCATAGACCTGCTATTCTTCTGGACGTGGAGTTCAGCGATGCGCATGCGCCGCTCAGAAGTGACGAACGCGGAAGCGCAGGGGAGAGATCAAAACAAAACAATGGTCACTTATTAGAAGTACAAAACGAGGATTTTGTAAAGTAGAATGTTGGAAGATTTTGATATAAGACAAGAGGAGACTGGTTTTCCTTTGCTAAATTAAGGAAACTGCTTCCTTTGCTCCTGTTAACAAATGTTGGTTTTCACGAGACTTACCGGCGCATGCGCAACGCTGACCTCATACGTCATGCTCCCGGAGCTGCTTCTGTGTACAACTGTTGGCGCAAGCTACATTAAAGTGATTATTACGTTTTGAATATGGATATTTTTCTTACAAAAACGCATCGATTTGCTACAGGAGGACTTTGTTCACCCCCCGGAGCCATGTGAGACAATATTTTTTATGGATGGATGCTTTTATTTAACTTCTTTTGGACTGATGCATGCAACACCCGCTGAGTGGCATTAAACAGCTTGAAAGATCAAAGACAATTTTTAATATAACTCCTGTCATAAACCATGCCAGACTTGCACTCTGTTTAGATGCTGTTTAATGAACACTTCCTTATACGTACATACGTAATAACCAATAAGAAATCTTGTTACAAATCCATATACTATTTATCACATCTTCCCCCTTTTTGGCGAAGTATGTTACTTTTTAACAAACAAAATTTTATCACATCTTCCCCCTTTTTGGCGAAGTATGTTACTTTTTAACAAACAAAATTAGATCAAAAGTTCAATTATGCTGCTGATAACATCACAAACAAAAAACATTATGCAAAATGAATCTTTCCACAAATAAAGTCTCTGTAATACAAGAAAAGGGAAAAATAAAAGTGTTTTGACTGTATTGTGACTGGTAGCGCAATGGCTTTCTTATCACTCGCCCACACCGTGTGGTCTTAGGTGACACTACATGTTGTGGAGTATGAGGCACAGCTGCCGTAGGTTCTAAGGAAGGAACAGACGTTCCTTGATTCGCCTCAGGTAATTGCTCACTTGGAACCCCAGGTAGGTGACTTTCCTCAACATCTGTTGTGCGGCTGGGTAGATCTCGTTCATGTTGAATAGCAGTATCCCCTGGAATGGCTTGGAGATGTTTACGATTCCTGCGAAATTCTCTGTGGTCAGTTGACACATAGTATGACCTTGGTTGTTCAGCTTGACGATTTACGATCCCTTTCGTCTTCCACTCCTTTTCACCATCCAGCTTTAGGCGCACTGAGTCCCCAGGAGATAGCAGCAATAAGGATCTAGCACCATGCCGTCGATTGAAGAAGTATCTGTAAGAATCCTTGGCTTTGCGATCCTTAACTTCCACTCTTTTCAAGTCAGGCCATTCAGGGTCCAAGTTACTTGCCATCACTGGAACTGTAGTCCGGAGATGCCTTCCCATGAGAAGCTGCGATGGACTACACCCTGTAGCTGCTATTGGAGTTGCCCTATACGCGAGAAGGGCCAAGAAGGGGTCATCTTGCTTTAGTATTTTCTTTGCTGTCTGAACGGCCCTCTCTGCTTCTCCGTTCGATTGTGGGAAGTGAGGACTGGACGTCACGTGAACAAAACCATATTGTTCTGTAAATGTCTTAAACTCGACTGATGTAAACTGTCGAGCATTGTCAGAGCACAGCCTTTCTGGGATGCCAAAACGTGCAAACATGCTCTTTAGTTTGCCAATCACTCTTCTGCTTGTCATGTTCACCAAGTGGGCTATTTCAATAAATCTTGAATAATAATCCACTACAACAAGGTATTGATGGCTACCTGCTTCGCAGAGATCTACCCCAAGGTGTCTCCATGGACCTGGGGGTAACTTTGTCACTAGCAGTGGCTCCTTGCATTGAGTGGGCTTATTATTCTGGCACAACTGGCACTGGTTCGCGTTACGTTTTAGATCAGAGCTGATGCCTGGCCACCACACTGATAGGCATGCCCGCTCACGACACTTACTAAGTCCTTGGTGGCCTTCATGAATGCGGGCAAGTACTTCATCCCTCATTTTGATTGGGATTACGATTCTTGATCCATGCAGGAGAAGCCCTGCAGACTCACTCAGAAACCCTTGTTGGCTAAAGTAGGCTCGCAGATTGACAGGCACCGCTTTTATATGTTTAGGCCACCCTTGCTGGACATTTTTAAGCACGCTTTGCAACTCTTCATCTGCTTTCATAGCATCAGCTATCTGATGTAGCTTCTGAGGTGAAGCTGGCAAGTGCTCCTCGACTCCAGCTACATAGGCCTCGACTTCCTCCTCGAGGTCTGACTGTTCTGAGTTGGCCAGGGGATGTCTGGACAGCGTGTCCACTATAAGCAGAGACTTTCCTGGGGTATACACTGCCACTGGGTTGAAGCGCATCATCCTTATTAGGAGCCGCTGACAGCGAATGGGGACCTCGTCAAGGGTTTTCTGGTTTATCAAAGGGACTAAAGGTTTATGATCTGTGAGTACTTTGAAGGACTCTAAACTGCAGAGATATTGGGACAGCTTTTCGCATGTCCAAACTGAAGCCAAACACTCTTTTTCAATTTGAGCGTAGCGTTTCTCAGCGGCTGTGAGAGTATGGGAACAGAAGGCCACTGGAAGCATCTTCCCATCATGCTCTTGAAGCAATGCCCCCCCTATTCCGTAACTGCTGGCATCGGCCGTGACGACTGTTGGCTTGTTCACGTCGTAATATGGCAGCGCTGGGGCCGCAACTAACATTTCTTTCACTTTTGTGAACGCCTCCTCTTGACTTTTGTACCACCTCCACACTCTGTCATCTCTCAGTAGCTCATTCAACGGCTGCAACACGGTAGTGCTGTGTGGAAGGTAACGGCAAAGGTAATTAATCATACCCAGCATCAGTTTTAACTCAGTCAGATTTTGGGGTTTGCTGAGGTCCCGGATAGCACGGACCTTTTCTGGGTCGGGTCTAATGCCCTCTTTACTGAGACGATGTCCCACAAAACCCAATTCCTTCTGACCAAAAATGCATTTTTCCTTCTTCAGCTTCAGCCCTGAGGCATGGATAGTATTCAGCACTTCATCAAGTCTATGGTCATGTTCTTCACGAGTACGACCATATACTAAGATGTCGTCCATATAGCAGCATACTCCCTCGACGTTCCGAAGTAGCTCACTCATGCGTTTCTGAAATATCTCTGGAGTGCTAGTTATGCCGAATGGCAAGCGACGGAAACAGTACCTCTTGAAGAGGGTTATAAAAGTAGTCAACCTCTTGCTAGCGTCGTCTAACGGTATCTGCCAGAAACCGCTGGCAGCATCGAGGCTAGAAAAGACTGTCGCCCCTGCCAGTTTAGAAGTGACGTCATCCAAGGTTGGCAAAACATACTTTTCACGAATGACGACTTCGTTTAGTTGTTTGAGGTCGACACATATTCTAATGTCTCCATTCTTTTTGGCGACCGGCACCATTGGGGCACACCATGGAGTGGGCTCAGAAACCTCTTCAATCACGCCCAGCTGCTCCATTCTGTCCAGTTCTTGTTTTACCTTCGTAAGCATTGGGATTGGTACTCTACGAGCTACATGAACGTTGTATGGCTCCGCTGTACTTTTAAACATTATTTTAACTGGTTCGCATGCCATCAGTCCCAAAGAGCCAAACACATTCTCTCTTATTTCGTCTATTCTTTTTATTAGCCCCATTTGAATTGCAGCACTGCGTCCTAGCAGATTCCCAACATGGGCTCCTTTCACCACATATGCATTCATCATGCACATATTTTTTTTTACGTTTACTTTTGTCCTCATCTGGCCCATACACTCCAGCTTGCCACCAGGACTGTTCAGTATTACATTTGTTTTGCTCAGTGGTATCTTATTTTTCAAGCTTTCGTAACTTTTCTCAGATATTATGGTGGCGTCTGCACCAGAATCAATTTTGAAATTGATTATTTGGTCTTCCATAAGGATGTCAACTGTCCATGGTGGAATGGGTGCATCCTTACTTTGAACAAAGCCCAAGAACATTGCTGACCCTGCATCTTCATAAGATGTTACTTCCTGCACTGTCTTTCGACATTCAGCTTTTTTGGCAGGACAGTGCTCTCTCTGATTATGTGTTTTGTTGCATCTTGTGCATTTCTTCCTGTCACTCCATTCGTTTCTATAGCCTTGTCCTTTTCTCTGTCTATCAGTGCTAATTTTCCTTCCTCTGCCACGATTTTGTTGGGGAAATTTAACCTCTTCTAATTTACTTTCGCTTTGCTCCGCATTTTGGTTTTTAATGAGCTCGTGGCTATGTACCATTTCAATTGCTCTAGAGAGCGTCAGTGTTCCTTGAAGCTGCAGCTTTTCTGACAGAGATTTGTCTCTCAATCCGATCACAATCCTGTCTCGGATATATTCATCTTTTAGTTCGCCAAAATCACAATGTTCTGAGAGCTCATAAAGTCCTCTTACGAACGCTTCTACTCTCTCTCCATCTCGCTGACACCGCTGATGAAAGCGTGCACGTTCGTATATCACGTTTCTTCGGGGAATGAAGTGCTTGTCAAACTCCTGAATCATCACTTCATAGTTATCTCTGTCATCGTCGTTATCAAATGTGAATGATTTGAATATATTCTCTGCATCCTTCCCCATGGAATAAATGAGAGCACTGACCTGCACATCGCCGTCCTCCAGTGATAATTTGGTGGCTGTTCTGTAACGCATGAATCTCTGTTTCCACTCCGGCCATTCACTCGGCCTTTCAAACGGGAAACTTTCTGGCGGCGAAAATTTGAGCATATTCCCGACTGTGCAGCTCTTTACTTATAGGGGCAAAATAGCAACAGTCTGTCAGAGTCCACTGAGCTAAGATCCCTCTTCTGACACCATGTCATAAACCACGCCAGACTTGCACTCTGTTTAGATGCTGTTTAATGAACACTTCCTTATACGTACATACGCATATGTAATAACCAATAAGAAAGCTTGTTACAAACCCATATACTATTTATCACAACTCCGACTGGATTCGTCTGAAAGAAGAAAGTCATATACACCTAGGATGACTTGAGGGTGAGTAATTCATGGGCTAATTTTCATTTTTGGATGAACTAACCCTTTAAGATTGCTTTAGTGATAATATTAATATAAAAATGTTATTTGAATAGGAGTGTTGCAGCACACATTTCTTTGTTGCTGAGCCACAGTTCCACACTTGTTTTTTGTAATTTTTGGAGCTTCAACATCCTGGTTGAGCTTAACCAGTACTAATGCTGGTCTTGTCAGTATTCTGACAGTACACGTACATTTCCTAGACATATATTTGATGTTTTCATTTGAGTGAATTATGAATGTTTACTCAACCACAGTATGCCACTAAATCACTACCTGTCAGATGTTATGACAACATTCAGCTGTTAATGATGCGTCTTATGGGATAGGGTCACCTTAGTGGTCAACAGCGTATGTACTTTGTTTAAAAACAGTGAATCAAGGTTGTGATAAATTTAGTTTTGTGAATAGTTACAAAACACATTGTCTTGGGCTGTATTTGGTGGTCTTGCCTGAACCAGACATCTGTATTGATTAAAAACCGGCACATCCACCTCAGCCCCTCTGGGGGCATTTTACACGGTCATCCAATCAGAAACCACCGGCCCATTACCATTGTAATGTAATTTGTCTGAGTGTGGTGTGAGAGAAATGTCCAGCTAGGGATAATGGCCACATGAGAAGACAAACTGCAGTGCTGGGCTGTTTAAGCTCCATTGGTTACCTTGTTACGCAGCGAGTCTGAGTGTGAGTGTTCATTGATGGCGAGGTTTAAATTGCATCCCTAGATTAACCCCAACTTAGTGGGATGACTGTGAGGCCATTTTTCCCCTCGGGCTGACAGAAGTCATTCGGTTTTTCGAGTAATGACAGGGGAGTGTATACCACAGGGATATTTCTCAATGAGTTGAGCAGAACCACCATTTTTAACCAGTAAATTTTATTTATATATAACAACAGTACAAAGTGAATCCTTGGCTTGCAAAATAGGTGTGCTTCATATTTACAATAGGTACACAGTAATATAATATAACAAAACAAAAGCAATTAAAAAAACAAGACCAACTTTTTTTCTTTTTAAATATTTTAACTCTCTTACAATTTTCACAACACTTAAAAAAACAACAAGAACAGACAACCATAAGTGTTATTATTATCATCATCATCGAGGTCATTATTATTTCTATGTACTATGTTACAGAACTCCAGTGTCTACAAAGAGAGATTAATTTATAATTTTGCGTGATTGAAAATGGAAGGATTTTCACCTCTGAGGTGATCAAACAGACTACAAAAGTCTTTCTCGCTCTCGTTTTTGTTTCCTACGATCAGTAATATGAAGAGAATATGAACATTTCACTTGTTCATAGCATGCTATTCCATCACAGAGCAAAACATGAGCTAAAAACAATAAAAGTGCACAAAATTTATTCCAAGACTGTCGATTCGTGCCAAATATATAAAATTAGCAGCAGTTGTGACCGCCACAGATGACTGCTGATATTTCAGAAAGCTGCCCAGTGCTGTCAAATTTTATTCTGCTCTGCAGAATAGCGCAATAAAAATTATAATTAACTTTTCTTTTTTTTTCGAGGGATCAAATATCTTCTAATAAACATTAGTAAGCGTTGAGCTACTGAAATCTCTCTCAACAAAGTGCAATTTCCTGTGCCACATCATTTCAAACAAAACGTTAGGACCAGAATACATTTTGTTCTCTGAATTTTTTTTATTTTTTTTTTGCAGAAGCAAGAGTAGTCTCTCCTCGACTAATGTGGCAGCAAACAATGTTCACATTAAAACCGAGCCGCATCCAAGGAAATCCTCAAGTGCAGCGGGTTCGACGGAAGGTCTCTTGCCCTTATAGAGCTGGGATGAGCTCTGATGAATGGAAAACGGGGAAGACTGTGGATAACCAAAAGTAGGAAGCTTTTTCATGTACCCTAATGTCACTAACATGCGACATGGCTTGTAAATTCACATATGTTGACTGACTATACAGTGTGTGTTTGTTAGAGGAATGTGTAGTTGTTCAGGAAGAGTAGAATTACTATAGGTCATCCTATAATAGCTCATCCCAAAAAAATCTGCCGTATTTTAATGACTTACTTTCTTCCAGTGAACACAACAGGAGAACATCTAAACATACTTAAATCAATATGTAGCCTAATTTACTTGACAAGCAAAATTATGTAAAATAAGAAGTCTTGTTTTCTGAGAAATTTATTTAAACGAGTTTTGCCTAAAATAAAATAAAATATCTGCCAATGGGGTAAAACGAATAAACGTTTTTTTTATATATATATTTTTTAAATAAAGCATGCTTTGATATTTATACTGGACAAAAATACTGAAAAATTTTTTTTTTTGTAGTGATAGTTCCATTATAAAGCTTTCAACTTTCAAAAAGGACAAAAAAGTGCCATAAGAAGTTCATACGACTAACAAAGCAATGCAATAATTTTGTGAGAATGTGACATTATTTACCTTAAACCTTTCCTAGTTTTTTTTTCTTCTTCATGTAATAGTTCTGAATCATTGTTTTGATTCAGGGCTGCATTTCCCAAAAGCATCGTAAGCTTAAGTTGATCGTAGCTCCATCGGTTTCAATGGGTCTATGATGTACATAAGCTTACAATGCTTTTGGGAAACGCAGCCCAGATCTTTTCAATGAATTTGTTGATTTAGTTCCCAAAACCAGTCTAAACGATTTATTCACAAATTGTGGTTTATTACTTTCCCACATCTATCATATGACTTTAGAAGATAAACTTCTGTATAGAACATATGGACCACTTTATGATGCTCTTTTCCATCCTTTGTGAAGAATGAAAGTATCATTTGCTTTTCATTGCAACTGTATGTGAAAGATCGACCAAAATATCTTTCAAAATGTATCCTTTTTTTGTTTCATGAAAAAGTAAGTCCAACAAGATTTGAATGAGGATGAGTAAACGCTGACAGAATTTTCTGGGTGAACTATTCCTTTAACAGATTAATTCATTGTCTTTCATGCAGCTCTTCATTTGTAATCTCCTGCACTGGATCCCATTTTTGATGTGTTTTTTTAATCTCCTGATCACACTGAGCACACGACTAGTTGAGATCAAAGGCGAGCTTCAAAGCAGCAGGAGGAATCTGAAGCTAAAGGGGTCTGTCTCTCTCTCCATCTCATTCCTATGCTTCTCAAACACTCCAGCAGACACCACCCAGCACCCGTCTGGGCGAGGGCATGCCTCTTCCACCCTTCTCCATCATCACATTGGCTCTCTTTATCTGATTATTCTCAAACACAGCTAATAAAGACAGAAAAATGACACGTCGCTGATTAAATGAACTAGAAACAACAGATTCAATGTTCTAAGGCCACAGGGGGCTGAAGCTAAAGGGGTCTGTCTCTCTCTCCATCTCATTCCTATGCTTCTCAAACACTCCAGCAGACACCACCCAGCACCCGTCTGGGCGAGGGCATGCCTCTTCCACCC